GCGACGAGCTCGAGGGGAGCCCGGGGGGAGCTCGCCCGGCCGCCCTCTCTCTGCTCCCCCCGTGCGGGGCTGCCGGCGCCGTGGGCTGGAGCGTGGGAATCGCCAGCTTCCCCCGCGGCCCTTCAAATCCCGAGCGCCCCGTCGGGGCCGAGCGGAGCAGCGCGGGGGAGCCGAGAGCGCAGGCGAGTGCGGACGGGGAGGCCCGTTCTTGCGCGAGTGGCTTTTCGACTAGTGCACGGCGGTTTTGAACTCGAGCTGCTGCCCGGTTGGGGCGGAAAAAAGAAAAGAAAAGAAAAGAAAAGAAAAGAAAAGAAAAGAAAAGAAAAGAAAAGAAAAGAAAAAAAGAAAAGAAAAGAAAAGAAAAGAAAAAAGAAAGGAAAAGAAAAGAGAAAAGAAAGGAAAAGAAAAGAGAAAAGAAAAGAAAAGAGAAAAGAAAAGAAAAGAGAAAAGAAAAGAAAAGAGAAAAGAAAAGAAAAGAGAAAAGAAAAGAAAAGAGAAAAGAAAAGAAAAGAAAAGAAAAGAAAAGAAAAGAAAGAAAAGAAAAGAAAAGAAAAGACCGCTTGAATAGAAGTCCCGCTTTCTTTTCTAGCGCTAACAACTGTTCCGGGAGATCCTAAAGCTTCAGTCCCAAATCAAATACAAGCTCTCTGTGTGTTTTGTTGCCTCTCCCCAGCTTACCGGGTAAAAGCGTTTGGAGAATCTCTGGAGCTTTCGAGTAGGGGCTCACCCTGTGAACGGTACTCACACATATAATTCAAATTTCACAGCTGACCTGCTCTGAAAACCTCAATCAGCTTCTAATTGAAGGGAAAACAAAATATTGCTTCCCTACAGCAGAGCTAACGATTTAATCATTATATCAGACATTATAGCTTTTAATTAGGCTAATGCTGATACTGTATGGAAAGAGATAATTCAACACAGTTCTTGATGAATTCTGTAATTGGGTTAACGGAGGAGCAGTTGGGGGAAGAGACGTCAATATTCAAGCTGCGTGTATAGCCACCAGGTTTATGAATGAACGCAAAGGGGGGAAAGGAGAAGGCGGCGGTGGAGGGGGAAAGGGCTAAAATTCCCTGACGAGAAAAGTCTTCTCCCCTTCGCCCAGGAGAGCTGTGCCAACCAACGGGAAGCGTGACAAGGCTAAGGGCTCGCTGCACACCGCGGGCACCGCCGACCATGTCGGGGTGTCGCGACATCCTGAGCGACAGCTCAGCTGTGCATGCCCGGACGCAGCTTAGAGGGAGAGGGCGTCTCGCCGCTCCATGGCGTTCTCCAGCCGATCTTTTGTCGGTCCCAGAACCCGTAGGGAAGTGATAACTGGGGCCAACTTGAGTGCCCCAAGGCCAAAAAAAACCTTCCTAAAATATTACTGAAATCCTCGTCAGGGCAGCCAGGCACGTTTCTTTCCAGGCGAGGCTGGCTCTGCAGCCCGACTTCTGAGAGCTGCACGTCCTGGCGGGACAGAGCAGAGCAGGGCTGAGGAGGGGGCACGAAATGAAATATAAAGGTGTGCTCCGGGCAGTCTGATCTGTACAGAATAACAGTGCCCGGAGGACAGGCTATTACTCTGTGTAGGTGCTTCCACTTATTTATTTATTGTGTCAGATAAAAGGATTGCTAGATCCATTTTTTTTTCTGAAGGAATTC